ATTACTAAATTGCCTGTGCACAAAGAAAGACACTGAATTTACTTTAAACTGCATAACTACATTTTGTTTTTTCAAACAAGCCAACATTGAGGGCCCGGTCCCTTCCATCCATTGACTTACAAATAAATGGACGACGGGTCTAATACAAACTCCACGAAAAAAATGTCCCAAGTCAACCTATTTAAACGTAGTGACATGTAAAGGAATATGAAAAAGCTAAATTTAAATTGAATACGTTGAATTTAAATTGTAATGTCATCGCAGTACCTACTGTCTAATTTTGCTTGCTTCGCTGTCAGTCGAACAAACGAAGACTAAAGCGTGAATGACGCTCTGTATACGATTTTAACGCCCTATAAGTTCGGACACTTTTTAGCGCGGACCCGACGTCCATATAATTGTAAGTCAATGCTTCCATCTATGAACTCTATAAAACAAAATCGTTTTGAATTCCACGGCCTCCCCCTGTTCAGAAAGTAATATATATTGGAAATTAAGACGGAGATTGCACTCGCCTAACGTAAAGTCTAAACAAATGACATTTAATTTATCATTTGTTGCACTACCATAGAGACTATCAAGAGACGATATACGATATCGAGATACTAGATACTCAGCTAGAATTCAACAGAAATGGTTGATTTTGCTTGGGTCGAACGGCAGGGACTCTGGCTTTATTTCAAAATTTATTTTTTTAAAAACGAAATTGTAGCCATTTTGAAAATTTTTTTTGAAAATTTGAAAAATGAATATCGTATACTATGCGTGTTCTATTTAGTTCAGTTGATATAAAAAAAAATCGTTGGTATCATTGACTTACAAATAAATGGACGACGGGTCTAATACAAAAACCACGAAAAAAATGTCCCAAGTCAACCTATTCGAAATTTAAATTGTTATGTCATCGCAGTATCGCGCTGTCCGTAGAACAAATGAAGACTAAAGCGGAGTGTCGCGCTCTGTATACGATTTTAGCGCCTTACAAGTGCGGACACTTTTTAGCGCGGACCCGACGTCCATATAATTGTAAGTCAATGGTTGGTATCTATAAAGTACATATTGAATACAGCGGTTTTCTTGTGAAATTTCGAGGTAAGTTTGTGGTTTTTTTTTTTATTGTGAAATTGTTTTAGGAATCGTGTTTTCACACCATGTTTACTAATCAGTGTACATTTTTTATATATTTTACATATTTTTTCCAAAGTAATTCAATATTTTCACTGTTAAATCACCCAAAGCCATTTGAGGTTAAATCGATTCTTAAATAGTTTTTCCTTTTTTTCGATCGTTCTTTTTGTCTTGCCGTTGCTGTAGTCATATAATTAGTAATTCTAAGTGGGAATTATTAATGAAAAACAAAGAATATGTAAACAAGATATAAGCAAGTTAATATTCAGTAGAGAAAAGGTTATATTTGCCGCAAATTGAATAATTGTACATAAGTGTTACATTGTTGACCTTATGTATGATTGTGTACGTACAGCCAAACACATAAGTTGTGCCTTTCTTATATTGCTATAAACACTATAAGATGCTGAAAATAAGGTTCAATTTCCAATATGCCGTTGTACTTTTTGATAAGTCAACGTGAGATCCTTGGTACACAAGTGTACAGTACTTTGGTGCATTTGTATCTTCGCTTCTGACGGCTTGTTAGGAGATTAACTAAGGTTAGTATATAAACTTGACTGTGTGATAATTGTAAATACAATTGTACACTCCTATTTCAAAAGCAATTAAACAACTTATTGCCTAATAAAATGTTCCACTATAGAGTTTTTGGAAATGACAAATCCCTGTTTTCAAGGTCTAATTTTTGACATTTTTGTATTTGAATGAATTAAATATTCCTAGCCTTTCTCCACCTTCATAAAGACATAAGTTTTTCACTTATAAAACTTGTTTCATTAAATTTTTTATTGAATTGATATTCAATTGCTTTTTATATGAAATTACTCCACTAGTTTGTTATAATTATTAATACAAAGATCCAACACTCAGAAAAAAATTCCTTCGATCCGCACGGATTCGGACCAAGGTCTTCTAGCATACCGTGCCAGACGCTATACCAACTAAGCCACGGAACGAACTAGCGGACCTCACGAATTTTTCTGTGTGTGCGCCATCTATGAGAAATCTTAAGTATTGCGTCATCCAGTTAGATATCTTTACAGCTACCAGCCCTGGCTTGAGATGTCGCTATTCATTGTATTTAAATTTTTATTGAATTAATATTCAAATACTTTTCATGTGAAATTACTCCACTAGTTTGTTATAATTATTAATATTGTTTTATTTACTCTATTGAATATTATATTATACAATTTCTATAAAAAGATATTAGCGTACAGCGCCCATCTTACCTGTTTCCGATTTCGAAGGATAAGTATGCTGGTGAAACTACAGGCACATATATAACTTGTTAACTTTATGTCTGAGGGTGACGGGCGCAAGGGTAGTTAGTACCCTTAGCTCGTTACGATTTTAGTTTTGGTGGGGCATTGCTGTTAACTGTTATGGGTAGCCGTGTCACTTACCACCAGCTGCACGATTTGTACGTCTCGTCACTTGATACCATAAAAAAGGGTTAAGTAATCTTCACTTTAAATAAAAACATCATAGGCGGTTGATTTGGGAGTACCCTGAGACACGTGGAAGCACTGGAACTGAGTTCCAGAGGCCCAGTTCATAATATTACAATGTAAATTTACAGTAGGCTACATGACTGAAGAAAGAAAACATGATAATTTCTTTTTCATAGGACAGAACAAGAAGTTTTTTTTTTTCATTTAATAAGCGGATTGTTTTTATTTTAGCAAAATAAAAACTGGACAATAAAGCCATTGGTCACGTGTTGGTGAACGCCAATCAGAACATGTGACGTCACACCACCGTAAACTATTTACTGAAACAACTAACTTTGATTTCGAGAGTGTCGACAACCCAAACAAAGCCAAAGTCGCGCAAGTCTCTTCGCAACGCAAAGCGGAAGACTCGTGAACCGGTGAAATTAATGGGAATTGGAAAAGTTAGTAAATTCGCGCAGGATATATTCAAAGTGTAGCCATATGAAAAATCAACAATACCATGACAGGAATTGATGTCGAACGCATCGATAAGTTTACGCTTTCACTTAAAATTGAACATATTGTGGTCAACGACCATTGACAATAAAAAAGGAATAAACCGTTACACTATGGTTCATATATGATGTATTTAACTATAGTTGTTTGCCTGTAGTCCAGTTAATGTTAGTTAGTTATGTCTGGTAAAACTAGGCTAAATATGAACTATTATGATTGTTGTAACGGTGCTTTGTCGTTTTTAGACCTATTTTATGACTAGGTTTTGAGATCAGACCTGTGATCAGTAGCGGAACGCGTATGAGTTCCTACAGAAGGTCATTACTTAGAGGTGCACTGTTTCAGCAAAGTAACTATATTTGTTAACATTTATACTCCGTCTTACTCTTTATTTAGCTTTTGACAGCTCGAATTCTAATCAATTAGTGATGTCCGAATGTGTTTCGGATTCGATTTTTTATAACAATCGATTTTATTTATGCAGAAGTATTACACGTAAATGTGAGTTCCAAAAAAAATAGAGATATTATCTGATTGTAATCGTGATGTTGCGTTCGACAATTTGTGTGCTCAAGAATTAATAATTAATGGTAATGAGGATTCAAATGATGATTCTCGTTCTTAAGGAGAAGAATCCGACGATTCATTATAATAAATAATAAGAATTTATTATAATTATTTATAATTTTTTTTCATTTCATTGTAATTTATTAGACTTATACCAAAATTTATTAACGTGAATAATCTTCGTTAAATAATTTGTTGGCTCAATAAATATCGGAGCTAAAGAGCACGTCGCTTCGTCGAGACCAGGAAGTATTGCATTTTTTTGTCTATGGTTGTATATAAAATAATTACGGAACTTCGGAGGCATGCATAAGTCAATAGTTAAATAAATGGTTGGACAGAGTATAGTCTGTACTGCAGCACTATGAAATTAAATCGCTAAATTAAGAGTTATTAAATCTAAAACAATTTGATTTTTATTCTCTAAGTTCAAGACGCGGATCCCCATGAAGATATATGAGTGCCTCCAGTGAAAAAGGGAATAACTCAACAATTCTTTTATTGATTATTGGTTGATCACATTTATTATTAGTACTTTTTATGATTTCTAGCTTTAGGTTATACATCTAAGCTTTCGTTTAATGGATATTGGTTAAGTATTCAATCAAATTTTCTGTATATTTTTTAAGTTTTTTTCGAGTTGCGTCCTTGTGTAAGAATGCTTAACGGTAATAACACGACTAATGTTAACAAACTTTAAAACATAATCCGACTTATTCCCTTAACTGCGACTGTTCTATAGCTATAACAATACTTATGATACTAACCACATTGATAAAAGATATAAAATCGGTAATGGAATAAAACGACAAGTTTTCTTTTGTGATCTATTAACCAATAGCGACACGGTATCGTCGCGTGTATGACCAATCGTGTCCAGTGGAACAAACGGAAAGCTCAGTTATATCTTTATGGACACTGTGGAATAAGGTGATAGCCGTTTTTAGTACTACTTTTTTCCCCGTCATTGTGGAACAATACGAAAAGTGTATTTATGTAAAAATATATCTGCAGCTATTTGTTAAAACGTGCATGTATTTTTTGAGTTGAGAGCACTTGTACCTTTAGACTCCTAAAAAATGCCCGATAACTAAAATTATGCCTTTAAGAACAGTGAGTAAGTGCTTAGTGCAATAAAAAAAAACGGCGTTGTTTTGATATGTAATCGGACACACTGAAGCCTATGGTGCAATAAAAACAAAAGGGCATAACTCGTCTTATTCCGTTTTTCACTGGAGGCACTGATATACTCCCAAAGGTTTACGCTACAATATTATAAAATAACTGCTACATCATTCAACTAGAACCACAATACAAGCTGCAGCAGTAAATTCTAGTGGAACAACTTACCTATCATGAGGTCCTCTTCCAACACCTGGTCCATATCCGCCATAGCCATCATCGTACGCCGGAGCACCACCTCTGTCGTCATACGACTGTCTTCTATACCCTGGGTATCCGTACCCGTCGTATCTTCCAGCGTACGGATCATCATATCTATCAGGATATCTCTCGAATAACGGCCTTCTTTCTCTGTATCCGTCATCGTAGTACCCTCTATCATACCCTCTATCGTATCCTCTGTCATACTCTCTGTCTCTGTAAGGATCTCTTTTTAAGAACCTGTCATAATAATCAGGCCTGTACCTGTCCCTGTCATCGTAGCGATTCCTGTGTTTGTCCCTTCCACTCCCACTTGGTCTATTGTCCTTATCATCATTTGGTCGTCTCTTATCATCGTTTCCATCATCTGTACCATTGTTATTCCCTTTACTCCTATCTGTGTTGAATCGTCTATCATTCCTGTCATCATCATC